CACCATAGAGCCAATATTCGCCCAGCCACAGAAGCAACAACTGACAGTCTGTGACCACTCAGAGACGCACTTAAGGCCAAGAAAGCAAAGAGGAGGCCCATGGCTCACACCTGCCTTCGATTAATTGGGTTCCAACTGCACTGAGAGGAGAAGCAGCAATAACTTTGAGGAGGGTGAAAAAGCCAGGAAGGGGAGGACCAAACCCAGAGTGAATTAAAAGCAGATGACACAAGTCCCTGACTCATGGAGGCCAGCAAGGAAGAGCAGGAAGTAGTTTCTCGGAGAAGGACGGCTATCAGAAAGAAAAAATAAGATGGCTGTAATAAATCCTAACAAAAGCCAACAAAAGAAAATGTTGGACAATGTGTTAGATGGTCTGTGAGGCTGATCCACCTCACTGAGTCGTTGTAAAGAGCAGCTAGTAAAAAAGATTGTCAAGGACACTGCAAACAGAAGAACTGACCAATAATAAGAACATTAATAATAAGGGAGGACCTAGGAATGAAACCAATTCAGTCAAGACCACAGATGTTGAGCAACCAGCATAAGAAATAAAGAAAGCAGATAGGGCTGTTTGGAGGTGTTCCGAGCAAACAAGAGCCGAAATACTTTTTTGCTCTTAATTTTTAAAAAGAAGACAAGTTTACAGGGTATAAGACTATAAATAAATATTGGCCAATGGGCTCTTGCTTTTCCCTGGAGACAGATCCCTTTGAAATGACTTCCTGGACCAAGGGCTAAGGGAGTTGAAGGCTTCTGCCCTCCTCCCTAGAGCTCATGGTCCAGGACAGGAAGCTTCCCTCCCTCATCGCCAGTGATTTGGAAGGAATCCAAAGCCATAGTTCATTTCATTCTTTCATCCCCTGCCTTTGCCAAATGCTGACAATTACAAACAAATGTTTTCTTCACACTCTGCTCATTTGGGTTGCTTTTGTGTATGTGACTTGAGAAACGCTTTCTAAATCCCCAAGGTGACAGGATTTCCACGTAATGATAATGATTATTTAATGTCATCATCACAATAGGCTGCCTGGGCAAATGAAATGCTTGCTGGGTCTAAAGCATTCACTCAAGTGAAGTAAATTAACGCTTTCCAGGGTACCAGATTTCCCGTCGGGGCCCTAAAGAAGGTAATTCATTACCCAGGCATTCTCCACCCCCAACAGTGCTGTCTACCAGCAAATTCTTCAGCTGCTTAAACTGTCAGGCTTCTTGGCCAGCATGGGGAAGTTCAAGAGAGATAAAACTATGCTGAGAAGGCCCAGACTTGGTAGATATTTTTAGTCATCTGAAGACCAGCCAGGGATGATAAGCACCATCACCACCCCTGTGGATGTAGCCCGTCTTCTCCAGAACTTCCATCATGGAAATCATCGCCTTTGGTCCTTACTCTAATTCCTGAGGTTCACAAAGCAGGTATTATCACAGTCAGTATCCAGCTATGGTAGCACTGAGGGAAAGATGACATCCATGGAAGACAGACTTAAAGGCAAGTGACAAGGTATCACAGGAAGCCTAGGAAAGGCCCCAAAACCAGGACCATCAAAAGCACGGAGTTGAGGACTGAATGTGTCTCTCAGTGGTAGAACACATGCTTAGAATGTGCAATAGGCCCGCATTCAGTTCCTAGAATGGGGTATAGAGGAGACACTGAAGACCTGGATAAGGGGCCATGAAGAATGGCTATGTACTTGGCACATGGAGGTAAAAAGAATATGAAGAGGTTCGAGAGTCTCACTGGGTAGACTAGGTTTAAAAGATTATCTACTGGTTGTTTATTGTTAAGAAAAATTGTCTCTAAGGCCAGCATCAAGAAAAATAGAAAGTAGGACTGTGTTGAGAGCTCAGTCAGTATAGTATTTGTCACATAAGCATGAAGAACTGAGTTCAGTCCCCCAGAATCCACACTGGAAAGCCAGGTATGCTGAACAAGACCAGTGCAGACTGTCAATTAGTATCCCATTATATGGAAAATTCTGAAAGGCCCCACACCTAGATGAAGAGCTACAAGTGGTCAATGGTTGATGAAAGGGGAATCAGTTTCTTCTAGGAACAAGTGTCTGCATAGTTGTCCCATTCCAAAAGGTCAGGCCTGGACACATATAAATACTCACAATGCTAAATGGACTCCATAAGTTGTATATCTGTGTCTGTGTGTGTGTGTGTGTGTGTTTGTAACAATAACAATTAAAGATGGAATCATGAATTTGGGACAGGGAACATGAGAGGAGTTGGAAAGGAGAAAGGGGAAGGAGTTACGTAGATACAGTGCTCAGACCTGAAGTCCTAAAAAAGAAAAAGAAAAACAAGAAGCCAAGCAAGTATGAAATCCCAGCACTGGGGAGGCATAGGCAGAAGGGTCCCTGGGGCTCAGGGACCAGTCAGTCTAGTCTAATCAAGTCCCAGGACAATTAGAGACCTTGTCTAAAAAAACAGATCAACCAGAAGTTGACCATTGGCCTCCATATACCTGCACATACATACTTGTACATGGGCATATTCACAAACATAAACACATGTACATGTGTGCACATGCACCTCAAGAAGTAAATAGATAATAAAATTAAAGCGTAAAAAGAGGGTTGGAGAGATGGCTCAACAGTTAAGAGCATTGGTTACTCTTCTAGAGGGCCCAAGTTATAGTCCCAGCACCCACATAACATCTCACAACTGTCTGCAACTCTAGTCCCAAGGGATATGATGCCTTCTTCTGGCCTCCACAGGCAGCAAGTACCCATGTGATTCAGAGACTTGCATGAAGGCAAGACACTACATACATAAAATAAATAAATCTTTAAATTTTTTTAATTTAAAAAGAAAGATGGGAACTAACCAAGACAAAGTCTTTCTAATCTGATGCTTTTCTATAAATTAACTAACTGAGTCTTCACAACTAATCTGTGTGGGTCAATTATCATCAACCCATTTTTTTTACAGTTGAGAAAACAGATGCAGGAATAAGGTTATGCTCTTGTCCAAGGTCTCACACCTACTGTGTGGTGAGAATCAGGAACAAGGCAAGAAAGCAACAGAAGCCTGGGCACTCTGACTGAGCTGACATGCCACAGGTTCAGGGCAAATGCCATTAGAATTTGTGTATAAGGAACCCTGGTTTCTCTGCCTCACTGAATCTTTAAGTCTCAGAACTAGCAAGTCCATATATTCACAGAATTGTAGCACTCGGCCTTGAGAACAATCCCAGCATGCCTCAACCCTTCTCCCTGCTCACTGCATCCCCTCCCCAGGCTACAGGACTGGCTGGACCTCCACAGACCTCATGTGGGTTGAGGGTTCTGGCCACAGAGATTGCCTGCCCACCCTTCATTCACACCCACTATTTACCAGATGAGGAGAGGGTAGGGCTGACCAGTCAGATCCCAGCTTAGCCTTCTCTTTGTGCTTTGTCCCATCAACCAAGGCATCCGGCAGCATTGCACTGTCACAGGCTACTGCAAGTGGACATTAGGTTCCTTTAGATTCAAAGGGAAAGGCCATTTGGCTGCCAAGAGCTAGCAGCAGAGCCAGGAAACCTGTCAGGTTAGACCAGTCTGCAGCAAAGCCCCAAGGGCTTGAAAAGGACTCCAGGATCCTCCCTAGGACATCCCACTTAACAGTGAGAAGGGGCGCATGGTGCCCTGTCATGAGTTAAACAAACCTCATGTGCTGCTGTTAAAGTAGAGAGTGGGCTTCACGTACTAATCCATCTGATAGGTTAGCCAGGAAAATGCCACTAGAAACCTCCAGTGGGATTGTTTAAAGGCTCCCAGTCAGCACAAACTATTAAAATGAAACAAAGTCACAGCTTGCTCTCCAGTAAGCCTTATGTTAAGTGTCTCAGGGTTTCCCATGGTATTAGGATAAGGCTGATGCAACGTTTGCTTCAGGTGACTTAGTCATCATTAGAAACAGAGGCGACAACTCCCTGGGTTACTGCTACCTGCATGCCCCAAAGCAAGACTTAATTCTGCAACTCCATCTCCTAAACTCAGCTTTACTCTCCTCACAACCAGTGGATCTCTTTACACTGGGGGCAGAGGTCCGGAGAAGAACTGGTACAACTGAGGCTTCCACACCTCCAAAGCCAGAGCCATCTACACCCATTTCAGAGCACAAGACAGTTTCCACAGCGCGGCCTTATTACAAACCGTGTGCAATCGAAGGGTCTTGGGACTCTTCCAGCAGAGGCAGCCAGCAGCTGAACCCCTCACAAACAGTTCTCTCCTGCCCCCCAGTGCCCTCGGCAGCCCATGTCCCCACAGAGCCCCACATCCCTGTCTTTCCTCAGAGTCAGCAGCCTGAGTGCTATTCCCCCAGGGCAAGGCACTGCATTTTCCAAGGTAACACCCAGCTAATCTCACGTAATCTAATCTGAAAGAGTCAGTGCATATTATTGGATGTATGAACTGTTATGCCTAGAAAATACCATTTGCCTTCTGGAGTCCCAAGGCCTTAACCAAAGGCAGGCTGGAAAGGGAGTCAATGTTACAAGGGTAGAATCTCAAGAACAAATCTTAAAACTCAAAGCGGCTTTGCCTACTCCTGCAGCCGGTAAAGACTGGCATCTCATCGTTTCAAAAGCTACGGTAGACCGAGCCTCTGTGAAGCCTGTTCTGTGCTCCCTCTTCAGCGCCGCTGGGAGCAGAGGCTTTTGACTTCTCTTAACTTCAAGAATACCAAAGGCTGATAATGCAAAAGCTATGTTTCATTTCAGGACAATTCTTTAATTTAATAAAATACTACTACCTCGGGCCTGGCAGGACTGGGAAGTGAGTGCTATCCAGGGGCATTATGTGACATTCCCAAATAATCAATAAAAATATTATGTTGGGGGGAAAACATAGTACCACCTCATACTTATTTAAAGCATCTATGCCTTATATTTAATTCTTTTTATTTCAATCTTCTTTTAGTAAACATAATAAACTGCTCATAAAATGCATAAAAATATTTTAATGAATAGCTGTTTGTTATAGTTTGATTTTTTGATGGGTTTTTTTTTCTTGGTTTTGTGGTTGTTGTTTTAGTTGGGTTTTTGGTTATTTTTAGACAGGGTCTCGTGTAGCACAGGCTGGCTTCAGATTCAATATGTTGCAAGGGACGGTCCTGAATTTCTGGTCCTCCTTTCTCTGCTTCCTGAGTGCTGAGATTACAGACCTGCAGCACCAACACCCACGTCTCTGCAGTGCTAGGGAACAAAAACAGAGATTCACACATGTTAGACAAACACTCTGCCAAATGAGCTACAGTGCCCAGTCCTTCATTATATGCTGTACATCAACATAGTACAGTACATATATGTGCTAAGCCAATTACATGTAATTGCATTCTCCCAACCCTATGGCTATGGTCTCTGTTTTTCCAATGAGAAGATGGAGGCGCTGGAAGGTAAGTGACATTAGCCAGTTCACACAGTCGAAAGCCTCAGAAGAATCTGAACCCAGCTCTGCCTCCATAACTTCACAGAAGATCCCTATTTCTTCTTTCTTGGCCTTTTAAACCTTACAATAACTAATCCAATCATTTCTTAAAGCACAGTCCCCACACCAGAAGCATCATCAACCCCAGGAAATGTGTGAAACACTGCAGGACCCACTCCAAACATGACAGACAAGGAGCTCTGGGGTGGGCTCTGCACTCGAGTTCAGCAAGCCCTCCCGATGATTCTGGTAAAAATGCAAACTTCAGTGAAGTCAGCTATGAATGTAGAGTATTGAAGTTTGGGGGTGGGGGTCAGCTGTAACCCCCCCTTAACACCAGTCCCACGAATCATTTTATCGCAACCCTGGAGAGATTTAGACAAACAAATGCTATTGGTGAATGCTTGGCAGGTGTACAACACTAGGAATAGAAATGAGACAATCTATGCAAAAAAAAAAAAATCCTCAAACAAAACCTTGGAAGGTCGCCTGTTGGGTTTCAAAGCCATGTGATGAGCTTTAAGAGAGCTGAAAGGTTATCTAACTTGGTTATTCCTAACCAGTTCCATTATTCCACGCCCTCCCTGGGCAAGATTACGCAGAGTGCTGTTAGAAGTCCGTGTAGGGTTCAGCTGCCCACCATCAGAACAAGGACCTCACCTCCTCTCTTCATTCTGTGCTCCTTCTTACTTAATCCCAAATAAGACAGGAAAGGCCGCTTTGGCCTTAGGGGCGCTAGCCAGCCCCAGCCTGTCCTCCCGTGTTCACAGGACTCTCCCGTCCAGCGGCAGGCGCACTGCGCACATGCGCCAATGACTCGAGCATGGAACAGCCATTTTCAGGGAAGAAGACTCTACACTGTTTGCCGGTGCCATCTGTTTGTGTGTTTGGAGCTTCGCTCAGTATTAGCCAGGGTATGCCCAAGAGTGGAAAATTTGAAATCCATGATCATCCTTCTGTCTTGAGAACACCGTACTGAGAAGCAGAGGGCAAACTTCCTCCCTGGGGGCCAGGTCTCAGGCAAGGACAAGTGATTGTTGGGAAGGAGATGCTCGAGAGCCGTGGTCCTCAACCCTCCTAATGCTGGGACCCTTTTACACAGCTCTTCATGTAGTGGTGAGCCCCAACGATAAACCTATTTTGGTTGCTACCTCACAGCTGTAATTTTGCTGCTGTTATGAATGGAATGCAAACATCTGATATGCAGGCTATCTGTCACGTGACCCCTGTGGGGGGTGTCACGCCCACAGGTGGAGAACCCCTATGGGAGCCATTCTATACCCCATGGTCACGTAGTTAGTGCTGTTTCAGCTCAGGACTCACACGCTTCCTGGCCACTAGGCCCTTGCCGGGTGACTTAGGGCAATCTGTGCTCCTCACGCCTTGGTTTACGAAAGGGGAGCGCAGGAAGAACACCACAGAGAGGTACTAGCTCCGCTCCACCTCACCAGACTGTCCCCTAAGACGCTGTCGAGCTCTTCCTCCCTGAAGTGATACTAAGAACTTTCATGAGTTGGGAGAGAGCTTTCCCCCTTATTACATAAACGGGAGTTCACCAACAGGGCTAAATTCGCTCTTAGCACGCTTTATAAGCATACCCCGGGGAATACACCCTGACCAACCCTGGGATATGCTAACGACTTCGAATACTACAACACAGGGGAAGATGGGACCACAGTGCCCTAGTCTGGATCAAACCTCAGGCCTGCCCCTAAAACCTTAGGAGACTGCCAGGCTCTCTAACTCTCCATGGCTACATGTACATCGGCACACCCAAAAGACAGACGCACGCAGTAATGAGCTAAACCCTAGATCTTCAGGAGACTGGCACACCAGTAACCTACAGAGAAAAGGAACACCGCAGTCCACGCCTGGGTTTCAAGTTGAAATTCTTTTCCAGGGACATTATTTTTCCCAAAAGGAGAGCGCCCTCTGCTGGTTAGTTGACACTGCTGGGAAAGGGCTCCCTTCTGGATTGTCTGCCAGCTACTCCTTCCTTAATAGCTGTTTTCTAATCGCACTCCACCATGGTAGAAGGGGATGACGATGTGATTCGATGGAGGTTGATAATACAAAACCCCGGTTCCCATACGACACTCCAGCCGGCCGTAGTTTACTACTGGAAACAAGAAAGGGATCGGGAGAGGGTTCAAGAAACGTCTTCCTGCCCTTCCATCCTGTGGATCATGCTATAGAAATCTTTCACGCAGTATTTGAGACTAAAAGCATCCCACAAACGGTTTAGGAGAGATCTCAAACAGCCTAAATAAATACCCATCAAGAGAAAAAGAGCAGCCTAGTTATGGTACATCCAAAGAGTGGAATATTATACAACTTTTTTTAAAATGAAGGTGGATTCTTTATATGGAAAGCTCTATTCATCTTTAAGATCAAAAAGTTTTTTAAAGGTAACTATGTATTTCATATGTATGTGTGTATATAGAGAGAGAGGCACATATATATGAGCTATCATTTGTATAAAAAGTAGGGGGTTTGTTTGTATTTGGTCCTACCTGAATAATGTAAAATATTCCCAAACATTTACACACAGAACTAATGGCTCAGATTGTCAACGAGCATGCTGAATGCCTTGCATACATTAACTCATATATCTAACCCTCTCAAAGCCACCCTGTAATTCCAGACCTATTCTTATCACGCACAATTCAGACACAAGGCAACTAAGAGACAAAAAGGTTAAAATATTCACGCCAGTTTTGATCAATAGGATTCTAAGCTTACACTGACCAGAAGTCAGCCCAGAGGTTTGTCCAACACAATAAAGCTGGAACCAGAGATTGTTATAAATAGAAAATCCAGGGCTGGAGAGATGACTCAGCCGGTAAAGGCCAGGCTCACAACCAAAAATATAAGAAACGTAAGATCCAGGAATCACACATTGTTAAGTTTGAGAAAACCTTAACTAGTGATTTCAAACATATATTTTCTTTGATTAGACCAACACACCCTGTGTATGCATGCACAGAGAGAGAGAGTAGCTAGGGATTACTTGATCTCTCTCAGACCTGTTCTCTCTACTCCCCAGACTAAAATATGGGGCGCCATGTCTCTATCCATGCAACCTAACTTGCACCTCCTAACTTGCTTCTTACTGTCCAACTCAATGTTTCACTTGGGGCCGATGGCAGTGAAGGTTTTTCTCCTCCATGAAACATTAAGAAGAAAAGATGGTTTTCTGCTCTACCTATGTTTCCAGTTTTTCTGTTTGCACAGTCGGTGAATACTCTCATGAAACTTGATTTTGGGCAAAAGGTATACCCTTTCATCCACTCGTGGAGCAACACACCCTCTTGGGATAAACTAAGCACATATCCTCTCCATCCCCTGAGGAAACAGAACCACTGTGAGTCCAACATTTTGTTCCGCCAGTAAACCAGTTAGTGAGCCTGGCGCAGTGACCTGCAAATATTCTAAATGCAAAATATTTTCAGAGAAGAATGAGAAACGGCATTCTGCATGTACTCTTTTAATTCCCTCTTGGATGTGCTCCCAGGTTAGAAGGCAACAGCTCTTGAACATTTCACCACTGCCCCCAAATCTTGTTGCTATAATGTTTCAAATACTGGAGGCCGAAGACATTTTCCATCTATGTAGTGCATTGTTTTATTATATGGTGCCTATAAACAGGTATCCAAGCACAGGCTCCCTCTAAAGTTATCCCATGCATAAGAATTAATTATGGAGCCAGAATGATGGCCCAGTAGGTAAAAGGCACAAGAAAAAGCCAAGATACCATGATGTGATGTGTATATATAATCCCTGCAGAGTCGGAAGAACTGCCCGGATCTCAGAAGCCGGCTGCCTGGGGTGCCAAGTGTGGCAGAAACAGGATTTAAGTGTGCACAGATGGGGAAATTAAGTGACATTTTTAACAGGGCAGCACAAAAATCATTTTTTAGAATTTATTTATTTTTACTTTATGTATATGAGTGTTTGACTGAATCTGTGTACCATGAATGTGACTGGTGCCCATGGAGGCTGGAAGAGAGACTGGATTTATAGACAAATGTGAGCTGGAAAAATGGCTCAGCAGTTAAGAGCACAAAAGCCAGGTGTAGCAATGCACACTTGTGATCCCAGCACTCGGGAGGTAGAACTGGGACTATCAGAAGTTCAAAGCCATCCTCAGCTACATAGCAAATGCAAAGCTTGTGTGGACTACACAAAACCCTGTCTCAAAACTAAAGTGTTTTCAGAAGCTATTGGCTAACACAGAAATAGTTTTGTCTTTATAGAAAAGAAAGGGGTAATGTCAATTTTTTTCCTCTCTCCTGAAGATGAGGTAAAAACTACAGAGAACAATCTCTCCTTTTGGAAAATTAGCTCCCCTCTGGTAATGGTTGGAGCCAATAAGTTCAACCCTGGGGACTTTCATTTCCCTTTATCTGTGAAAACAGGAACAATACAGTTTTCTCACAAAGCTCTTATAAACGGTTAAAATTATCCCAGTAAGAAATGGCCGTTAGGGAGCCAGGCATGGCGGCATTCCTGGAGACAGAAGGACAAGAGTTCAACACCAGACTGAGCTTCCATAGCAAGACCCTGTCTCATAAAGCTTAGGGTTGGGCATGCAGCTCAACTATATAATACCTGCCTCACATGTGCAAGGCTCTGGGTTCGGTACTCGGCACTGCAAAAAAATAATAAAATAAGAAAGAAGGAAAACAATGACTTGTAAGGATGCTGAGTTAGGAAGATCAGCTGAGCCCGAGAGGGTGAGATTCCTCTAGGGACTAGGCATAACCCGAAAGTCCCAGGGATGGTGGGGCAGGCCCGCCTCACAGGCACAGCCACAGAGCAGCTCAGTCCCTGAGCCAGCGGGCACCGGCAGGACTTCATACCACAATGAGCAACCATGACACAGGCTCCATACCAGCACACTTCAGCTTAGAACCTGTGCTGCACAAATGCCCTAGGCGGACCCGTTCATCTCCCCACCCCTTAATCATCTTCCAGAACATTCTCTCTAGTCAAAGAGTTTTGGAGGAGAGTCACCCTTGAAAACAATTCTATCTTAGTTAGTTAGGGTTTCTATTACTGTGAAGAGACTCCATGACCATGGGAAGTCTTATAAAGGAAAACATTTAATGGGTGGCTTACAGTTCAAAGGTTCGGTTCGTTATCACCATGGTAGGACATGGTGCTAGAGAGGTAAATGAGAAATCTTCATCTTGTGCAAGCAACAGGAAGTGGTCTGTCTCACTGGGCACAGCTTAAGCATATATGAGACCTCAAATCTCACCTCTACAGTGACATACTCCAACAAGGCCACACCTCCTAATAGTGCCACTCCCTTAGGGGGCCATTTTCTTTCAATCACCAACCACATCGTTCTCTCCGAGTCTACAAACACTAGGTGTTCAGCCCTCACTCTGAGCCCAATGCCGGGCATTCCTGCACTTGGCTTTAAACTTGCGTAATTTTTACAACTGCTGTCCTTAACTTTCCTCTCATCATCCCCTTTCCCACAGTTAGGTCATATGCATGTTCCCTCTGGGAAGGAACCAGGACCCCATATTTTGCCACATGTTTAGTGGTTTCGACTCGACAATCAGGGAAAAGGCAACTACTTCAACTACCTGGAATCCTTTAACCACCCAGAATCCTTCGGAAAAAGCCCAGCTTTCTAGCTAGCCACAGATTCTATTCTCGCTGACATTGACACTTCCATGGCATTCACTGGCCTAATGAAAATCCATCTCCATTAGAGTCCATGCCCTCTGCTTTCCTACAGAGATTTTGCTGAACTGAACTTCTTGATGACTCATCCAGAGTGAGGCCTGCATGTTTTATTTTCTTCCCCAGCTGACTGGCTGCTTCGGTTTTTTTTTTTTTTAATATTTGCCTCCCACTTCAACCCTGTTCCTCCAGAAGATAATGAAGACCACCAGAGAGCACGATGAAAAATTATAAAGTCAATGTGGAGATAAAGACCACTGCACACATAAGAAGGGCATAATGTAGTAAAAAGATGCTCAGGGCTGGGACTGCGGCTCAGTGGTACAGAGGTTGCCTGTCATGCACATGAAAGGCCCTGGATTCCATCGAAATACTGGGAAAGAAAAGTTCATGAACCCACTTAACTACATTGACCTCTTTTTTTCCCCAGCATTTTTTCTTTTGTTTCTGCCTTTTTGTTTGTTTGTTTGTCTGTCTGTTTGTTTATAGACAGCGTTGTGCTGGCTTGCTGTTCTAGAGGAAAAGTCCGTATTGGTGAGGGGTGAGAAGACATGGCGTCAACAGGAGATGGTAGCTGACTCACATCTTTTCTCACAGGCAGGAAACAGAAGCAGCAAACTTGGAGTGGAGGATGCTGTGAACCCTCACAGCCCTCCCCTGGGAGTTGGTATACATCCTCCAGCAAGAATCCACCTCTTAAAGGTTCTGGTAACTTCACCAAGCAGGTCCACCAAAGGGGGAACCAAGCATTCAGACACCTGAGCCTATGAGGGACGTTTCTTTGTTTCAGGATCATGGAGGGTGAAAGGGAAAGAACCGTTGCTCTGAAATATAGTTCCAGGTTTCCAGGGCTTCACAAAGCCTTCCTCTAAAAGTACCAAGCTGTTTTGCTTGGCGTCTTCAGAGCTATTTTAGTCTCCATCTTACAAGAACCCCTTAGACTTACATTAACACTCTGTTCACTGGACAGGATCTGTTCAAGTCTTGTGTCATGCCTGGAGCTCCCCAGGGCACAGTCCCCACAGCCTTTCCTCAGCCTCCTGCCTGTTCCCTGAAAAGAGATCATCAGGGAAACTCTAGAACTCTGCTGTGAGAATTCTCTCCAACAGACAAAACTGTGGACAGTATTTCTTGGAAATATTATCTAAAATATCAGAGCATTAGACAGAACCAAAACACTAAAATAAATTATGGATATGATAAAATACGATGTAGATCCATAATTATTGAGCCAGGAGTATCCTGCCTCCTATTAGTAACTGAGGAAAATATTTGTTACAGATAAATACCTGGAGCATATTCACTACTATAAATGGGAATTATTTATAAACAAATAATTGCATTTTTGAGCTAGAACATATACCAAATATGTGACAGAGCTATGAGTGACTTTCTTTCATTTATGTTTGTCTGCATTTTTAAATATTTTCTAAGTGATTATGAATAGCATGACATGTCAACCAAAAAAATGTGGAATAATTTTCTCTGATAAGAAGAAACAATTCCATTGTTTTATCAGCCATTGCAAACCTAGCTGGAGCTTGACAGTCTCATCTTAAGAACAAGTGCATTAAGTCTAAGAGTCAGAGGTGCTGGTGACCTACATCAAGAAGATTTTATGGCTCAGAACTACATAAAGAAGAAATGATGCAGGGAGATGTGCTCACAGCGACAATGTACCATGAGAAATACCAGATTCAATCCAGTACAGCAGTGGGCAGGAAGGAGACATGATGAAGAAAAGAATAATGAAGGTAAGCTGGAAGTTTATGTAACAAGTGTTGATCTGCCTCCTCCCTCCCAACCCTCAGAACTCCATTAGCCAGAAAGTACTTCAGGCAGCCGAGACTTGAGGTTCACTCTCTGGGGAAATTAAAGGGAGGAGAGACTGCAAACTTTGAGGACACAAAGCTCTGTACAGTACAGATCAAGACTCAGGACTGAGTTAGCACACAGTGGCTGAAAGTATACACAGGAAATGGTTCGATTGCAAATCTTTCTCAACTTCTTCAAACACCTACAAGAGTCTGGAGACAGAAGACACTTCTCTTGACATTCCACTGAAAAGAATGCTTTTATCTTCCTTCCTTCCTTCCTTCCATCCTGTGAAGGTGTTTTTACTAAAAAAAATGAAGAAGAAAAGAAAATCACAATAGTTATAACTTGCCAACTTAAATAACAATCATCTTCCACATATGTTCTTTTCTTAATTTTTATTTGTTCTTTGAAATTTTCATACATGTATACAAGTATCTTGATTATATCCACCCTTCATTCTCCCACCTCTAATTCCACCCCTCCCAGGACCCCAGATTGCATTTTCCTCCCAACTTCATATCCTCTTTACATAAATGTGGGGGTTTGGGCTTATTTTTTAATCCATTGACTCTAATTAGTACTGTCATACGCATATGGGTATGGGGTCGTCTAGTGGGACACGGGGAAATTACCAATGACTACACCAGTAAAGAAAATTCTCATCCAGGCAGTGGTGGTGCATGCCTTTAATCCCAGCACTCAGAGGCAGGAGTGATGGATCTCTGAGTTTGAGGATAACCTGGTCTACAGATCAAGATCCAGAATAGCCAAAGTGCTACACAAAGAAATCCTGTCTCAAAGAAAGAAAGAGGAAGGGAGGGAGAAGGAAGGAAGGAAGGAAGGAAGGAAGGAAGGAAGGAAGGAAGGAAGGAAGGAAGGAAGGAAGAAGTAATTCTCCCTTCCCCAGTAGTCATTGACTTCTAATAGCTCCTCAGCTAGAGAGTGGGCCTCTAAAGCCCTGCCCCCTCCATGCTAGAATTTTTTGTTTGTTTGTCTTGGGCATGTCTTGTGTAGATAACTGTAGCTGCTGTGAGTTCATATGTGCAACTGTCAAAATGAAATTCTCTTATTAAGTTATGGAGACTCCCCCCTCAAGCAGGTCTCCTGACACAATAATCTAAAGGCAAACCCTATCACTCAGCCAGCCTTACCCAAGTCTGCCTGGCTTCTAACTAGCTTTTCAGGTCCTGGGTGGGCACAGCATAAAGCAAAAGTCTGCCAGTGAAAACATCTTATCAACAAACCACTTGTATGTTCTAGGTAGGGGCAGTCTCATGCAAGCAAACATAAAGGAAGCTAGGAGGAGATAGACATGAGTAGAGGAGCTTGGGAAGGGAGATCTAGTTCACAGCCCCAAACCTGATCCTGTTTTTAAAGCCCCACAAACTATTGTAAAAGCCTGGCCCCAGCTTTCATGATAAAACCTCAGTTTTAAAGATAAGAAAATGTCTTTACATTAATAACCCCTCCTTGATAATAAGGTTGATGACTACCCTATATGCCATCCTAGAACCTTCATCCAGTGGCTGATGGAAGCAGAGACAGATACCCACAGCTAAACACTGAACTGAACTCCTGAAACCTAGTGACAGAGATGGAGGAGTGATGAGCAAAGGGGTCAAGACCATGATGGTGAAACCCACAAAAACAGCTGACAGGACAAGGAGGACCTCTTGAATCCCAGACTGATGGCTAAGAGGCCAACAGGGGACTGATCCAGACTCCATGAATGTAGTGTCAGTGAGGAGGCCACAGAAATCACTAGGGCCTTGGATAATAGATCAGTGTTTACCATGGCATACAAATGAACTCTGGGAGCCCATTCCACATGGAGAGATGCTCTCTCAGCCTGGCACATGGGGAAGGGCCTAGGTCCTGCCCTGGATGAAATGACAGACCTTGGAGATCCCCCCCAAGGAGGGCCTCACCCTCCCTGGGGAATGATGTGGGGATGGGGGGGACTGGGGGGGGCTGGTGGAGGGACAAGGGAGGAGGGGTGGGAAAGGGAGCTGGGATTGACATGTGAAGCATTCATGTTTCTAATTTAAATAAAAACATATACTGAGCAAAAAAAGAAAAGAAAAGAAAATGTCTTAACCCTACAGTCATGAAATTTGTTATGGGATCTAGAGCAATCTCAAAAACGAATAAGATATGAGGTAACCAAGAAAAGTGCAGCTGTATCTTGGTAGCTGTTTCCTGATGGTCAGAATGCCACCTTGTTGTTAAGTGTCCTTGAAGCTTTTGATAAATTTCTCCCACTACAACCAAAACCAAGGTAGAAAGACATTTTTACATACATGTGCTCCAACAAAGGGTCTGACCCTCAAAAACTTCAGCTTCAGCACTTGCTGTTTTCATCTCCTTCCCTTCATACACTTCCCTGGAGGATCATAGGAAAATACCCTCCAAGGGAGACTCCATCCATCATGTTTTAGGAGGAGGAAAGGGTCATCTTGCTCTATGAATATGCCACTCACCTCAGAAATAATCATAAAATGTTGGCATCTACAACAAAAGCCGACCACTGTTTGTTTTACTTTGTTAAATAAACTTCAGCTTCATCTGTGTTTCAACTGTGTCCTTTCCTTCAAGAAGATAAGACTTGAGCATATTCCTACCTCATACCCCCAAGAATAACACAAAGACATATGTCAAAATACGTCTTAGATGGTACAACTTTAGTGTCCAGATCTCTCCTCGCTAAGGACAGTGGAATGCAATACAGGGACCTTAAAGCTGATAAACTATGGAAATTCAGGAGCCTGTCTCAGTCAAGTTTTACCGGCACACAGCCACACCCATCTGTGCAGGACTGCCCATGGCTGGCCTCTGGTTTGAGTGGTTGTGTTAAAAAGTTAAGACAGACTAGCTGAAGCAAAAGGCAACCCTAAATTTGCCAGCCTTGCTCTAAAAAAAATTAAAATGCATCAGAAATATGATTTCATTATTGCATCTGCTTTTCCAACTCCCTTATCTAAGTTTTTGCATAGTCTTCCCTATTTTGCAAAGAGACTGTCTTCATATTTTATTGAGCAAGTTTTCCTAGAGGCATTTGGGGGACTGTGCAGATACATTCCCAAATAGTTGTTTGAATTAGTACTGACTGATAGAAACATAACATAAAAATTTAAATATGTAACTTTAAATTCTCCAGCCTCGAATTAATAAAAGTGAAAATAAGCAGTTAAAAGGTAATTGTGTGCTTTTCTATGCCTCATTCACGGTACGCACTGGCCACCTGGATCACCAGGCCTCTGAGAAAGCAACTAAAAGGAAAAGTAAACACCTGAAATAAATCAAACCCATTCTGAAGACATCAAGATAGTGTTTAAAATGCTCAGTCAAGCAGGCTTCATAAAGCCATGGCATGACATCGGACAGACAGTAACTAACTAAAGTACTTCAAAACTAAAGCCCAAAACCACTTATTACCCAATCAGTAAATGAACTGATGAACTGAGCAGACAGCTCTTGAAGGAAGAAATACAAATGGCCAATAAATATTTGAAAAAATATTCACCAACCTTAGCCCTAAAGCAAATACAACTTAAAACTGCTTTGAGATTCAGTTCAACCCAGACAGAACGGCTATCATCAAAAAATAAATGACAGCAAATGCTAGTAAGGGTGTAGGAAAAGAGCCCTCACTCACTGCTGCAGAGTTATAGACTGGTGCTGTCACTATGGAAGTCAGTGTGGAGGATGCTTCTTCAAATAAAGTAAAAGCAGAATGACTATGTATTCCTGGGTAAACACCATGAACACTTGCATATCCATGGCTATTGCTGCACAATTCAATTACTGAAAAATGAAATCAGTCTAGCTGGCCATCAACAGACCAATAAGTAATGTGTGGTGCACACATACAGTTGAATTTTTCAGCCATATAGAAAGGAAAATAGTTATAACAGGAGATCATTGTGTTAAGCAAAATAAGCTAGACTCGGGATGACAAATATCACATGTTTTATCTTCTTGCTCTGTGTGTGTGTGTGTGTGTGTGTGTGTGTGTGTGTGTATGATGAAAGTAGAAAAGGGAGGAAGAGATTTCAAGGATGGAAAAGGCTAAAATAATGGAATGCATGTGACATAAAAGCAGAAAAGAACATTATTTGAGAGAGGACAAAGAAATGGCTTAACGGTGCAACTCAAAAATATGGAAAGATAAGAACAAACCAAATACAAAAACAACTGGTGGCAAGACATAATAAAAAGCAGATCAGAAATCAACAAAATAGAAACAAAGAAAACAATACAAAGAATTAATGAATCTAAAAGCTGGTTCTTTGAGAACCATATTGACAGACCCTGGACCCAACTCACCAAAAGAAGGAGAGGACTCAAATTAACAGAATTAAATGAACAGGAAAATATTACAAGAAACACCAAAGAAATTCAGAATATTATAAGAGAATTTTTTGTTGTTCTTTTTGAGACAGGATCTCTATATATATCCCTGGCTGTCCTGGGACTTGCTGTATAGACTGGGGGCTGGCCTTGATCTTCCTGCCTCTGACTCCCAAGTGCTATGAATAAAGGTATATACCATCACAGACAGATACAAGAGAATATTTTTAAAACCTGTGTTCAGTGAAGCTGGAAAACAAAAAAGGAATGGATGAATGTCTATATTCAGTCAAACCACCAAAATTAAACCAAGAAGTAAACAATCTAAACAGGCCCATAACAAATGAGGGGATTGAAATAATAATAAAAACCATTCTAGCTTTTTAAAAAAAAAGTCCTGGGCCAGATGGATTCACAGCAGAACTCTACCAGACATTCAAAGAAGATCTACATCCAATCCTTCTGAAACTATTTTTAAAAATAGAACAGAAGGAACACTCCCAAACTACTTCAATGAAGCCAATATCACTCTAATGCCAAAACAAGGTAAAGATACAACAACAATAAAAAGAAAACGATAGGCCAATATCCCTGATGAACATAAATTCAAATTTCTCAATAAAATAGTTGCAAACAGAAATAATCAAAAAGATCATCTACTATGACTAACTTGGCTTTATCCCCGAAATGTGGGAATGGTTCAACATACACATAAATGTACTTGATAAAAATCACATGATCATCTCAACAGATATAAATTGACAAAATCTAACATGCATTTGTGATAAAAGTCCTAAAGAATGTAGGGTTAAAGGGAACATACCTCATTATAATAAAAGCTATATATGAGAAACTCACAGCCAGTATTATCCTAAATTCATAAAGGCTTGAAGCAATTTCACTGAACTCAGGAATGAGACAGATATATCCACTATCCCCACTGTGGTGGTTT